ATACTACTTTACTATCCTAGCAGGAGGAAGAAAGGTTTCTTACACCCGCAGACCTTCACCCACCTCCCCCACCCCCCTCAGCAGCCCAGCCATCCAATAAGAATCAACCATACTTCCAGCTCCCAGTTTACTCTAGTGGACTTTTAGTTTACAACAGCCCATCCCGTCCCCCCCACCCCCCTTCTCTGTAAAAGAGCACTTCTCGCCTTTATTCTCTGGGTTTGCCTGTGGGTCTGCAGCAGCTTGCTTGTCCTGGATTGCCATCTCTGCTATTCCTGAATGAACTCATCTTTTGCTGGTAGAATAAATGGCAGTTTTATTTTTAAGGTTAGCGGTTGCTTTGTCAAACACTAATTAGCTGGGGGCACCTGGGTGGCTCAGCCAGTTGAGCGTCCGACCCCTGATTTTGGCTCAGGTCATGATCTCGCGGTTCATGGGTTTGAGCCCCGCATAGGGCTCTGTGCCGACAGCGCAGAGTCTGCTTGAGATTCTGTCTCTCTCTTTTTCTCTGCCCCTTCCCCATTCTCTCTCTCTCTCTCCCTCTCCCCCACCCCCTCATAAATAAATAAATAAATGTTAAAAAAAAAAACTAATTGGCTGTAATTGTGTGGGTCTGTTTGTATAGTCTGTTTCTTTGGATTCTTTTTCAAAATTGTTTTCACCCATCTAGCTCTTTTACTATTCCATGTAAATTTTATAATCAGCTTGTTTCTAACTATAAGAAATCCTGTGGGGATTTTGATTGGGATTGTGTTAAATCTATAGGTCAGTTTGGAGAGAATTGACATCTTTATTATATTGTCTTCCAGCTCATGAATTTGGTAAGCTTCTTCACTTATTTAAATTCCTGATTTCTTCAGCATTTTGTGGTGTTAAGCATACTTCATGGTTTATTAGACTTATGTTTATGAATTTAAGTGTTTTGGAGGTATTGGAAAATGGTATTTAAAAAACTTTCAGTTTCCAGTTGTTTGTTGTTAGTGTATTGAAATAACGCTTGATGTTTGCATTTTGACTTTGCTAAACTCACTTATGAATTCTGGGATCTTTTTTGTAGATTCCTTGGGATTTTCTACATAGATGATCATACTATCTTCCGATAAGGATGATTTTAGCTCTTCCTTTCCAAATTGAATGCCTTTTATTTTTTCCCTTAACCTTATTACACTGGCTAGGACTTCAAATGCAATGTTAAATAGAAATTGTGAGAGTGGATATCCTTTTCCTTTTTTTTCTTTAAAAAAAATTTTTTTTTTTTAACGTTTATTTATTTTTGAGACAGAGAGAGACAGAGCATGAGCAGGGGAGAGTCAGAGAGAGGGAGACACAGAATCTGAAACAGGCTCCAGGCTCTGAGCTGTCAGCACAGAGCCTGACGCGGGGCTCAAACTCACAGACCGCGAGATCATGACCTGAGCCAAAGTCGGATGCTCAACCGACTGAGCCACCCAGGCGCCCCACCTTTTCCTTTTTCTTAGTGTTAGGGGAATAGCATTGTTTTTCATCTTTAATTAAATATATAAATATAAATATATTTATAAATTTATAAACATATATAAATATATTTATAAATTTATAAATATATATATATTTATAAATGTATTAGTTTCTTGTAAATACCCTGTAGCATAAAGGAAGTTTCCTTTAATTCCTGGTTTGCCAAGTATTTATCTTGAGTGGCTGTTCGGTTTTGTCAGATGTTTTTCTGCAGCTATTGATATCATATATTTTTTTTGTTCTTAGTTTTTTGGTCTGGTGGATTGCATGGATTGATTTTTGAATGTTGAATTAGAATTAGCTTTACATTCCTGGGAGAAGTCCCACTCATGAAGTATTAATCTGTTTTTTCAGTTTGCTAAAATTTAGTTGAGGATTTTCCATTTATGTTCATGGGTGACTTAATCTAGTTTTCTAAGTCATAGTTTTCTTGTAATGTTTTTGTCTGGTTTTGGTATCAGGGTAACATTGCCCTCTGTAAAATAAAGTGGCAAAGTTCCCTCACCTTCTGATTTCTGGAAGATATTGTATAGAAGTGGCATTATTCCTTCTTCCAACATTTGGTAGAAATTGCGACTGAAATAATTTTGTTTTGGAGTTTTCTTTTCTGGAGGGGTTTGAATTACAAATTCAGTTTTTAAAATAGATAGATACAAGACTATTCTGTATATCTATTTTTCTTTGGTGGATTTTGATAATTTGTACTTTTCTTGGAAATGTACTATTTCATCTGAGTTGTTCAATTTATATGCGTAGAGTTATATGCATTATTCTCTTACTATCCCTTTAATTGCTATGGGATCTCTTGTGATGACCTCTCTTTCATTTTTTGATATTGGTAATTTATGTCTTTTTCTTTTCTCTTTTTATCTTTGCCAGTCTTCATCAATCATTTGAAAGAACCATCTTTTTAAATGATTTTTTTTTCTGTTTTCCGGCTTTCCATTTTATTGTTTTCTGTTCTTACGTTTATTATATCTGTCATGTTGCTTGTGCGGGTTTATTTTGTTCTTATGGTTTCTTAAGGTAGAAGCTTAGATTGTTGATTTGAGACATTTCTTGTTTTCTAACACATTTTAAATAGTATAAATTTTCCCCAATCACTACTTTAACTGTACCCTACAAATTTTGATATACTTGTATTTCAAAATATATTGCATTTCAAAAGATAATTCAAAATATCTTCTGCTTTCCCTTGAGACTTCCTCTCTGACCCATGGGTTGTTTAGAAATGTGTTAATTTCTAAGTATTTGGGTATTTTCCAATTTCTTTCAGTTACTGATTTCTACCTTAAGTTTATTATGGTCAGAGAACATGGTTTGATTTTCAGTTCTGTAAATTTGTTAAGGTTTGTTTTATGACCCAGGATATCCATGAGCATATCCATGAACAAGCAAAGTGAACCTATAGAAAGTTGCAAAATAGCACAACAACTGGGGCGCCTGGGTGGCTCAGTCAGTTAAGCATCTGACTTCAGCTCAGGTCATGATCTTCCAGTTCTTGGGTCCGAGTTTCGCATCGGACTCTGTGCTGCCAGCTCAGAGCCTGGGGCCTGCTTTGGATTCTGTGTCTCCCACTCTCTCTGCCCCTCCCCTGCTTGTGCTCTCTCTCTCAAAAATAAATAAACATCAAAACAAAATTTTAAGGGGTGCCTGGGTGGCTCAGTTGGTTAAGCGGCCGACTGGCTCAGGTCGTGGTCTCGCTGTCTGTGGGTTCAAGCCCTGCGTCAGGTTCTGTGCTGACAGCTCAGAGCCTGGAGCCTGCTTCGGATTCTGTGTCTCCCTCCTCTCTGCCCCTCCCCTGCTAGCTCTCTGTCTCTTTCTCTCTTAAAAATAATAAACACTAAAAAAAAAAAAAAAAATTTTTTTTTAAAAACACAACAACCAATCATATATACTGGATCTAGATTCATCAGTTAGTATTTTGCTACGTTTGCTTTATTCTTTCTTTCTGTCTCTCCCCACTCATTAGAGAGTCAGTTGCAGACATCATGACAGCATCCCTATGTACTTGAGGATGTATCTCTCTTAGGACATTTTACAAAATTATAACACTATTACCTAATACAAAGTTGTTATTCAGATTCCCCACTTATCCTCATGGAGCTTTTTTCTTTTCTTTCTTTTTTTTTTTAAATTCAAGATTTACTATATGATTTCATTGCACTTAGTAATCATGCCTCCATCACTTCCATTTATTTAGAAGAGTTCCCCAACTACTTTTACCTTAAGATTGTCATTAAGACTTTTGAAGGGTTCAGGCCTGCTGTTCTGCAAATGTCCTTATATTTGGATTCGTCAGATGGACTGCTTCATTAGGTGCAGGCTAAAGGTTGTGGGCAGGAACATTTAAAATGAAGTCGCTTGCTTTCAGTGCTTTGTTTCAGGAGACACTGCATGTCACTTTGCCCCATCACTGGTGACATTTAATATATTATCTTGATTTAGGTGGTGTCTACTGGATTCCTAAATTGTAATGGACCTTTTCCTTTAGTAATTAATAAGCCATCTGTGGGGTAATAACTGGGTGAATGTCATGTTCTCCAGTGATCTTTTATCAAATGCTTTTAACATTGATGATTCCTTTTTTTTTTAAGGTGTATTTTTGAGAGAGAGAGAGAGACAGAGAGACAGAGTGTGAGTGGGGGAGGGGTGGAGAGAGAGGGAGACCCAGAATCCGAAGCAGGCTTCAGGCTCTGAGCTGTCAGCACAGAGCCCGGCACGGGGCTCGAACTCCCAGACCTCAAGATCATGACCTGGGTCGAAGTTGGAGACCTAGCCGACTGAGCCACCCAGGCGCCCCTAGCATTGATGATTCTTACCTGAATCAGTTATTACTGTCATGGTTGGATAATGGTGATTTCCTTTTTTTAAATTTGTTTTTATTTTTATTATTTTTTAAAAGTTTATTTATTTATTCTGGGAGAAAGAGAAAGTGCAAGTGGGGAAAGGGCAGAGAGAAGGAGAGACAGAATCCCAAGCAGGCTCTGTGCCGGCAGCCCAATGCGGAGCTTGAACTCACAGATTCTAAGATCATGACCTGAGCTGAGATCAGGAGTTGAACGCTTAACCGACTGAGCCACCCAGGCACCCCTATTTTTATTTTTTATATTTTATTTTTTTTTAATTTATTTTTTTTATAATGGTGATTTTTCTCTTTTATTCCTCTGCATTTACTAACTGGATTTCATTTGTGAAGAAGAGATTTGCCTTTCCTTTCCTTTTGTTTTCTTTCTTTTCCTTTCTTTCTTCCTTTACTTACTTATCAGCAGTGTGGAGTCACGAATTCTTTTCTTCAGTCATTATTCATTCAAGTGCTCAGATTGTCTTAAATTCGACTAGCGAGAACCACTTAATTCTGGGTTGGTACAATTGCAGCAAAGGTAAGTTTTCTCTAGTATTTAACATTTCAGTCCATTCGTAGCCTTAGGAGCTACAGGGATTAATGCAGGTACCGTCCTTCAGACCTTACTTTTGATAACCCTTCTGTGCTTATTTTCCAGCAAATCACTGAATTGAAGAAAGAAAACTTTAATTTAAAGCTCCGCATCTATTTCCTGGAGGAAAGAATGCAACAGGAATTTGATGGCCCCACCGAACACGTCTATAAAACTGTGAGGTCCCACTTCCCACGGCCACACCTGGTTTTTTTCTCAGAGTCATTCCCAGCAGAAATTTGATTAATATTTGTTCTCCGAGTTAGCCTGAATAGACAGAGCTGCTTTCATTTAATCTGAATGGATTACGGGGAGCATAAAACAATAGGATGACCTTAATAGTAAGCAAAGAGTTGCAAGATTAATTTTAAGGGATTCTGTCTCTCTTTTTCAAATCCTAATTCTGATTTACTCTTTCTATCTCAGTTGCCTTTTCCTAATTATTCATGATTGAGACAAAGGTGGTGAAATGGTGGAGTGTCTTTGGAATTGCGGCCTGCTGTTGTTACCCACTAACTCGTGTAGCTGTAGGCAAGGCCCTTCAGCTCCCTGGGCTTGCTTTCGGAGTTAAGTGATAGTCCCTCTGTCACAGGGTTATTTGTGTGGATTAAAACGGAATGGCAGAGGAAAAGCCCTAGCACACAGTCAGTGCTTGGTGATGATCCTCGCTGTCTGACAGAGGCTTCCCTTGGCAGCCCGCAGTGAGGACCGTCAGCTGTCTGTGCCCTGGCTCTTCTGTATTCCTTGCGTGCTTGCCTGTGACGGTCAGAAAAGCGTCTGTTCCCATCTGAAGTCTTGACCTGGGGGCCTCTGCCTGAAAACAGACCTTGGTGCTGAAAGTTGAAAACAGAACTTGGCTTTCCTGAAAAGACATAAGTACAAACAATATTTCAGTGCCCATTTTTTGGCTTTCTCCAGCAGATTAGCCCCTGGCCCGGGGAATGTCTCCGTCTTTTCTCTTCTGAAGTTTGCACCACTGGAAACTTTTGAAGGGGGAAAAAGGACTGTCCTTGAGTTTCAGCAGATGGGACTTAAATGGGCTTGTCTTGAAGAAGGATTGTACTGTACTTCTGAGCCTTTTCAAGAATTGAAAAGCTCTCTTGTCCCTTAAGGCAGTTCTTTTTTTTTTTTTTCCCCCTTCAGTGTGGGGGTGGAAAGGCAATGAGGATGTCACCTTTTCTGGAAGGGAGTGATGATACAATCATAGTTTGAAGGAAAAACCAATAGCCTAAAACATTTTCTGTGTAAGTATGGTTACACACTTCTAGGGTGATAGGGAGCCAAAGCGTGTTAATTGCTTGCGCTTTGTAAGCCACGGTCTTGGGCATTTGGACATTTATCATCTTATTTTAACTCTCAAGACAGCCTTGTGCAGTGGAGATTATCCTCATTTTACAGAAGAGGAAACTGAAGTTCAGGGAAGATCGGTAACTTGCTGGATGTCACAAAGCTACTATGAGAGGTGTATTCTGAATACAGGCCTGCCTCATTTTACTCTGCTGTTTAGCTTTTTTTTTTTTTTTTACACTGTCTGATTAGATGACCTGATTTAATTATACTTTTATTTCAAGTTGTTGGATAGGTAGGTGTACATGGCTCAGAATTCAAAAAGCATCAAAGGAATACACTAGAGAGACTTTCATCCACCCTTGTCTCCTGGTTCCCCAGATCTAACCGATATTATTAATTATTTATGCAGAGGAATTTTATGTATGTACAAGCAGGTGTGTGTGTGGGTATAAATCTCCTTTTTACATAAACGCAGGCACGTTCTGTTCTGTACCTTGCATTTTTCTTTAATAATAAGGATAAGGATATCTTTTCCTTAACAGTAGTGTAAGGGCGTCTTCATTCTCTTTTATAACGAAATTCCATCTTAAGCTTATAAGGTGTCTTGACTTCTGGTTTGGAGACTGATTCCCATGTATTATAAGTTTATAACTTCAGGTATTGGGGCTTGAAAAATTGGTCTCGTGGACATGTTAGCTCTCCATCGTTTTAGGTCGGGGGTGCCAGTTAGTTCATCAGAAAGCAGTTTAGATTATCTGGTGTCAGTTCTTAAATGGAAACTCTCTGCCCTTCTTAGAGCTGAAAAGGTGTCCTCTGTTTGAAGGCTGTTGCTGTAGGGTCCTCACAAAACCAGCTGAAGACCGGTGAACTGTCATGCAGTGATCTTTATGCAAAGATCAGCTTCTCCTAACAAAGTTTGGTCTCGTAGATGACTTCTTTAGTGCCTGTTGTTGACCGGGAAGAAGATAACGCACTGGGAGCCCCGTCTGCTAGGCTCTTCTCATTTGTGAGCTCATTTGCTCCTCAAATCCCCTGTCAGGTAGGGCTTGTGTGTTTCATTGGCGCTCGAGTGGCCTGAGAGAAGAAACTTTGCTCTCTCACCTCTTGGACTTGTGCTTCCGAGGACGACTACAGGCTTGCACTTCCAGTTTCATAGTTGATGCCGGTGTGCAGGCAGGGCCCATGTCTGCCTTGTTTACCACGCCGTCCTCAGCGCTTAGCCCCCTGCCTGTCCTGTCACAGGTCATCGGTATATGTCTGCGACCAGCCCAGGTTAGCGGGTTGATTTCCATTCTGGCTGACTTCTCAGTCTCGGGTCCTCATTCCCCCAGGGCTGCTTGGCAGGAAGGTAGGAGGCGTGTCCCCTGAGATTATAAATTTTACTGGAAATGTGACTTTTATTTAAAATAACCCACATGGATTATGGATGTGAAATTGGCATGAATTATTAAAACAAAACAGGAGCAAGATTTCGGAGAAATCTTGGATTTATAGCAATCCTCCACCAGCTACGCACTCAGACCTCAGGCTCTACTTGCGGGAGTTCATCTGCTATTCCACCTGGGATACATTCATGGACAGGTTTGAGAAGCCCGCCACTGCCCCAGTGTCTCACACTGCGGTGGTGTCTTTACCAGAGCTTCTGTCTTTGCGTTGTCACGTGAGTTAGAAGCCCGAGGCCATGTGTGACTCCCTTCGCTGCAGTCAGCTAAGAGGAGGACGTGTGGTTGGAGAACGCTGTGGTGGCCCTCACAGACAGCTTGCCCCACGCGGTTGTGGCTTTTTTGTAAGTGCCCCGAAATCTTACGCTGAAATGAGACAGGCAGTGGTGTGGCCTCCCACTTATCCATCCACGTGTTTTATTTACTTACTTATTTATTTATTTTGAGGCTGTAACACGTTCCCACTGCTACAGCCACCACATGCATGATTGTAAACAAGCAGAAGTAATTGCCTTGGAATGGGAAAAGCAAACTGCAGAATTGCTTGTAAATTTGCCTGGCGGAGGGCAAACCATTTTTAAATCAGCCTCACTTGTATGACATTTATGCCTCAGTGTTTGAGTGCTCTGGCTGTTAGAAGCTTGGAAAATTTACATAATTGTTCCAAGTCTTGAGGAATCCAGGGCTTCCTTTTGAGACCACCAGTGTTTAATAATTCCCTTCTCCCTGTGCCCTGAGGCTAATGAGGTTTTGAATCTAGCATCTGCCTATTATAAGCGTCCTGTAAGTTAGTCTGTGCAGAAAGCTGTTTCCCCACCGCGCACGTTCTGGGGTCCCGTATTTCACGTTGTTTCTTTTCTTTCCTAATCTTGACTGGAAGAACATTGAACTGAAGGTGGAAGTGGAGAGTCTGAAGCGGGAGCTCCAGGAGAGGGAGCAGCTTCTCATCAAAGCCTCGTGAGTACCTGTCATCCTGTCACAAGCTTGCAGGGTGCCCGGGGTTCCGGGGGGTGGAGGCTGGCTGGGTCCATAGAACACAGCCTTGTGTTTTCTGAGCCAGTTGTTTTCCCACTGGGCCCTGAGGACCCCAAGGAGGTGTCCGTTTTTGTTGAATTACTTTTCAACAAACTTTTGAAGTGTAATATACTTAACAGGGAAAACGATGTGATCTTAAGTGTGCAGATGGCGAATTTGCACTAAAAACACCTGTGGGGCCACCATCCAGATCGAAAGCCGGAACATCACCCACCCCCCAGAAGTCCCCTTCTCCACCAAGATAACCACTGTGCGGAACACTGATGGCATCGGTCTTTAGTTCTGCCCACTTTTGAACTTGATAGGAATGGAGTCCCGTACCGTACACGCCCCCTTTTGTGTCTGGCCTCTTTCCTCAGCAGCGTGTTTGTGGAATCCGCCCATGTCCTTAATTCTATCAGCAGCTCATTCATTTTCATTGCAGTAAAGGCCCTAGGGGCTTGCAGGAATTTTGAGGGACTCTGGTGAGTGAGGCTGGGACGCAGAGGGTAGGGCTTTAACCAGAGGAACTTGTTTTTGTATCTGTTTAATGCACTAGGGTCTCTTACAATATTTTGTTTAAAAGAGGTGCTCTGCTTAAAACACGTTTGAGAAGTATTATTTTAATTAATCAAATAGTTAAATATTTGTCGAACAACAAGCCCAGTTCAGAGAATACAGTCGATGACTCGATTGGTTATTCATTCATTCGTAAACATTTATTATGTAATTGTGTCGCGTATCGAGGATTTGAAAAGAGACGTCTCCCCACTTCAGCCTTGTAGCACGCTTGTAGACAGAGTATAATGGGGGCACGGCGACAAGAGGGCGTTTGTGGGTCTGTTGGGGCACCGAGGTATACAGTTTTGCTTGGTGAGAGTGGAATGAGGCTTGCCGGGGCTGACCCACCTTCCACTAAGGATCTGGCTGAAAGCTTGGGTGGAGGCACACCATTTGTCTTGGTAGCTGAGCTCCTGCTGGATCCAGTGGGCCAGGAGCATGGACTCTTTGGCTTAGGGCACAGCTGCACCACTCTGGGCCGGGCCATATCATTCCTTTCATTGTCACGCGGCCAGCAGCTGGAAGTTGGGCTGCTGCTGGCTTCGAGGAGACTCGGGGCTCCCCGGCCCAGACCTCCCTCGCTTATTGCCAATCTTGTACGCTTGGTATTTTCTGAATGAGTGAGTGAATGAATGAATGAATGAGAAAACTCGATTGATAAGTTTTTGTTTTTGTTGGCTGCTGTTGCACATTTTTTGTTTGTTTTTGGTTTTTGGTTTTTTTGAAGCACATCATTCTCTGGCACGAAGTCAAGTCAACTTTACCAAGTCTGGAGGTCAGTAGTAGAATTTGAATTTGGTCTGTTTCGTGCTCAGCGCCCTGCCTGCTGCAGGTCTTGGCTAGGACTTGCCGTTAGCGGGCGAGTACACGCGGAAACCCGAACTCACAAAGGCGGTGTGCGCTCCTCCATACCACACACGGGGCTGAATGTTTTCAGGGCTCGTGCACGCATTTGTGGGCGTAGATTCCCCAAGCTGCCCACGCAGACCTTTTTGGTCTGACTAGTTTTTTTGTTTTTTTTTTTTTAACGTTTATTTTTTGAGACAGAGAGAGATAGAGCAGGAATGGGGGAGGGTCAGAGAAAGAGGGAGACACAGAATCGGAAACAGGCTCCAGGCTCTGAGCTGTCAGCACAGAGCCCGACGCGGGGCTCGAACTCACGGACCGCGAGATCATGACCTGAGCCGAAGTCGGACGCTTAATTGACTGAGCCACCCAGGCGCCCCTGGTCTGGCTAGTTTTATTAATTTATCCAGAAAAGATTTATTAAGCAGCTGTTCTGTGCTACACTGGGCTAGGCTCCCGGGGATGCAGTGGTGATCCAGACAGGCTTGCATTCTAGAAGGGGCGATGGTGATAAAATACTCGGGATGGTAAGCGGATAAATACCAAGTGGGAAAAGAGCCGTGAGGAAGACAGAGGCAGCGGGGAGTGTTGACAGGGTAGGAACAGGTCCGTCAATAGAGACGTATTGCAGGGAAGGGGCCCTGAGGGGGGAACACTTAGGTGAGGTCTGAGGAGCAAGTAGGAATTAGCTGGTGCACGTGCAGTCCGAGGGAATATGGGAAGTCTGGGGAGGTCTGTGTCTTGTCCTGCAGGGTCTTGAAGCCACAGCAGAGATTATCCCAGATAAACGGGAAGAAGTCACGGGTTTGAGCAGCTGACACAATCAGATTTAGTTTTGTGGAGGTCACTGGATTCGGAGAGGAAGGCGCTTCGTAGAGGGAGCGCGGGGCGGGGAGGCAGGGAGACCAGTCAGGAGGCTCGTCCGGTAGTTCAGGTGAGAGGCTAGCGATGGCGAGGGGTGGGCGGCCTGCAGAGGCCTCTGGTGAGCAAAATCAACAGGGCTGGGTCACGGATGGGGAGGGGGATGTCAAGGCTGACTCCTAGGTCAGGGGCTAAGAGCGCGAGCTCTGTGAAGAGTGTTCGCGACGACGTAGCTGCTCCGGCGTTCTCCCTGCCAGTGCCTCGTCTGACACATGTTCCTCGTCTGGCTCACGGATACTGAACACGTTCTGTTCCCGCTGCTCTGGCTTGGCCCTGGCGGCCCCTTCTGCTTTTCCTGTCGCCTAGCTGACACCGAAGCTCGGGGTGAGCCCCGCCTGGCTGCCTGTAGCCCACGTTTCCATCCCTTCACAAGCTTCCCTGGCAGAGAATCACACTCCCGCGTGTGTGCCGGCACTTTATAGTTTATAAGACCCATTTGCATCCGTTTGGATGCCATCGTTCTCCTGGGAGCCAGGCAAATCTCGAGGAAAGCCTCCTTGTGGACGGGGGGGGGTTAGGCCTGAGAAGGGAAGGACTGTGACCAGCACCACTCAGGTGGGATGATTGGAGCCGGGATGAGAACGCAGGTCCCTGACTTTGGGTCCAGCCCTGATTTCATATGCTTTTTTTCTCTTTTTTTCCGTGAACCTTTTTTTTTAAAAGTGTATTTATTTATTTATTTTGAGAGAGAGAGAGCGAGCATGAGCGGGGGAGGAACAGAGAGAGAATCCCAACAGGTTCCGTGCTGTCAGCCTGGAGCCCAATGTGGGGCTCAAACCATGAACCGTGAGATCATGACCTGAACTGAAACGAAGAGTCAGACGCTTAACTGAGTGAACCACCCAGGCGCCCCTCGTATGCTCTTTTTAATTTTCACGTGTGTGATTCTTGTTTCTCCAACACGACTGCACCTCTTCTAAGGCCAAGAGCCTCTTCTCCTTCAGCGCGCGTGGGGCACCTCCGCCGTTCCTACTCCGTGGGCCCCTTGTGCGTGCTGTAGGACCCGCACGGTGTCTGTCACATCCCTGCTAAGTGTGCCTTTCCCTGCTCCCAACTGCCCAGCACCTACAGGCGTGTGTAGGTACATTCTTGGTGATGGAAAAAATACCTTTGTTAATGCCCTCAACTCCCTTTTTCACTTTTACGGTGTTTTTTTTTTTTTTTCGTGGGGGTTGGGCAGGAGATGGGGACCTGTCACGGGAAAAGCACCTGCTTTTTCTCCAGAACTATAATTAGAATGGAAAGAATCAAGAGGAAAGGGTGATGGTTAAAAAGGGTAGCAGGGGTGATATTTATAGAAGGTTCTCTTTTGTATCGGGTGGAATGCTGGTTTAGACCACTTTGTCCCCACCTTTCTTCGCCTTAGGTCTTGCTCTCCATCTCGTCTGTTGGCCCAGATTCTATAAGGAGAGACAGGGTAGGGGGAGCGGACTGCCATTTACTCTACTTTGCCCCAGACCCTGTGTCTGGCACTTGACCTGCTTTATGGCTTTATTAGTTTCACAACAGTGATGTGAGGCAGCCGGCATTCTCATTTGAGTGCGGGGGAAACTGGGGCCCGGAGGAGTTGGGGGGCCGGCCCAGGTGGGTGACAGATCCTGGGCCCGTCTGGCTCTGGAGCCCGCTCTGCCTTGCTGGGGGGGGAAACACATATGTGTGCTGGGTCTCCATTGTTGTACTTATCAGTTACAGTAAGGGGACATTAAAAACAAAGGCAGACATATTGTCGGGAGTAAATTTTATCTCTGTAGCTTTAAAGCACAAACAAAAATAATAATTCCATTAGTAGAGGAAAATTGCACCATACTGCCGAGTATAAATTTTATTGCTACAGTAACTGTAAAATACAAAGATGATAAATGAAAAGTTGGAACATTTATTATTGGGGATATATTTTATTGGTATAACTAAAATGCAAACAAACTGAATAATACCAGCACTTGTTAGAAACTGTAGTCTGCCTCTTGCCAGTGTATATGATTCTGACTATAAAACACTGAGGTTCGTTGTGGGCGAACGGGAGGGAGACGACGTGTTTGCCCTCTCTGGGCGGGGGGGGAGGGGGGACCATTCCCTAGAGGGGGCTCTGTGAAGCCCAGGGCTAAAACACTGCTGGTGGTTAGTGGGAGTTCAGGACTGGAAAAATCCCGTATCCGTGGCTCAGGAGGAAGAGCCTCTAGCCTTGCGTGTGGTATCAGCCGTATGCCGTGCCTTCTGAGGAACGACAGAAACGACCGAATCGCGGGGAACTCCAGACGTCACTGATGGAGAAATGGGCCGAGGGAGCCGGGGCCGCGCACATCACATGGCATTGGAGGGGGAAGTGGCAGTGGCGGCCCCAGTTCTGGCCGGAGAATGACCTGTCTCAGCTCAGAGGGGTAGACGGACGCCTCTCCTGGCATCTCAGCAGGGGCCGGCGCTGTGGTGGCCACAGGGCCAGCAGGTGGCGCTCAGATGCGGGGGGGGGGGGGGGGGGGGGGGGGGGGGGGGGGGAAGGGCGCCGTGCCGCGGCCACCACACGTGTTAGCACGTTCGTTCTAAGAGGCAAGCGTGTCACTTTTCAAGTGAGGAACCTGAGGCGTAAGGGGCGATTTGCCCAGAGTCACATTGAGGACATGAGAGAATGTAAATTTGGAAGCAGATCTGTTCAGGCTTCAGAGTCCATGTTCGTTCTTGCAGTTGAACGTTGAATTCCATTAAAATGATGTCATGACACTGGGGCCTTCTGAGGGCCTGTTGGCGAAAGGAAGCAAGATATGAATAAAGTCTTTATTCGCAGGCAGCTCCTGTTTGATGCTTGGACGGCAAGTATGGCCCTCTTGACTTTCCATTGTTCTCAGTCAAAAATTCACATGGCCCGTGCATGTGAGCGTCTGATCACATGGCACTTGGTTGGGAACATTTCATATGCCCCCTAAAGTAGGGCACGGGAGGCTGGCGGTGAATAGATTTGTTCTGTTGCAGTTTTTCTGAGAAGCCAGCTTTAGGTGGAGCCGTTTCCTTTATGATTCTGCCTTCTGCCAACCTGCGGTCGTTTAGAAATCTGCGGAGATGCGCTCCGAGTAAATGTCCCACAAGGTCGTATCTGACCGTTTTTCTTTTGAGGAGGACCCCGATGAGAGGCGTCAGGCGTTGGGGTCCTGTGTCAGGCTTTGGTGCGCCATCCCCACCGGTCCTGGCCCGCTGGACGGCTAACATTCCGTGCTGCCCAGCAGCGTGAACTCCGCACTTGACGGAGCGTGGGCTGCCTGCGCAGCCTCCTGGCCTCACGCCCGGAGTGGTGGCTGGGGCTCACAGGTGGGGCACGCTGTGTTTAAAATGCTCTTCCCTCCAGTTGGCAAAAGATGCTGTAGAAAAGCCCTCGATCCCTCAGATTTCTTTCCGTCGCGTGCTGTTCCTTTGCGCGTTGGTTCGTCGGACCAGCTCTCCCCCTCTCCTACCGCTGGTGGAGGTGTACTTTGCCGGAAGTTTCCTGGTGGGAGAGTCGGCAGTGGCTGTCAAGAGTCTTACAAGTGTGCTTACCCTTTGACCCGGTAATTCCCTCTGTGGAAACTGACCCTGGGAGATCACCGGGTCGTATATATGCAAGGATGCTCTTATTATAATGTTGCTTATAAGATAATAACAACACTAACATGTATTGGAGTTCTTTGTACTCAATATATGAATAAAGTTTTTATTTGCACTGTCCTCAGAGCTTTAGAAGTGTTTTCAGACAAATGTGTAAAATCAGAAATCATCTAAATATTTTTACATGAGGGGATTGATGTGTGTCGGCTCTACTTCGATAAAAAAATAGGGGATTGATTTAATATACTCTAGTATATTTCATACAGTGAATTAATATGTAGCCTTTAAAAATGGTAGAGGTTTATGTTTATTGACACAGAAGGATGTTTATGGTGTAGTAAGTAGTAAAGTCAGATCATGGATATATATTGTATGGTTGGTTCTGTTTTTGTAGAAAGTGTCTGAAAGGCTACATGCTAAAATGTTAACTTAGTTTTTCTGCCTGATAAGATTATAGATGATTCTTACTTCTTTCTTAATTTGTGTTTATATATATGTATTTTACATAGAGGTATGATTGACATATACCATGTAAGTTCAAGGTGTACATGTTGACTGATTTTTTTTTTTTTTAAATTTTTTTTTTTTTTTAATTTTTTTTTCAACGTTTATTTATTTTTTGGGACAGAGAGAGACAGAGCATGAACGGGGGAGGGGCAGAGAGAGAGGGAGACACAGAACCGGAAACAGGCTCCAGGCTCCGAGCCATCAGCCCAGAGCCCGACGCGGGGCTCGAACTCACGGACCGCGAGATCGTGACCTGGCTGAAGTCGGACGCTCAACCGACTGCGCCACCCAGGCGCCCCCATGTTGACTGATTTTGATACATTCATATACTTCACTGTGTATTTGAATTACTAATATTAATTTAAAAAAAGGGGCACCAGGTGACTCGGTTGGTTGAGCATCTGACTCTTGGTTTCGGCTCAGGTCAGGATCCCAGGGTCGTGGGATCAAGCCCCACATCAGGCTCCACGCTAAGTGTGGAGTCTGCTTAAGATGCCTTCTCTCTCCCTCTGCCCCCTCTCCACTTGATTTCTCTCTCTCTCAAAAAAAATAAATAAATAAAAATAAAAATTGAAAACAACAACCACAAAACTCCAGCACAGGTCTGTGGGAGAAATGACTAACAAATATTCCTTGTCTCTTTGGGGCCACTGAAACCACCCTCTGACTGTCCCCACATGGATTTTACACTTTTGCTTCTTTTTGCAGTAAAGCAGTTGAGAGCCTGGCTGAAGGGGGTGGCTCCGAAGTGCAGCGGGTGACAGAAGATGCCCAGAAGAAGGTGCGGCAGGTCGAAGAGCTCCTGAACGAGAGAATATTCCATTTAGAAGAGGCAAGTCTGGAGGCCCCGAGGAGGATGTGTTCTTGCAGTGGGTTAATAGTGGAGGGAGCAGAATTTTGTTCCCTCTTTCACAAACTTGCAGACTTGCAGCAGAAACGAGAGCCACCCTTATTCAGCATCTCACGGGTTCCAGCCCTGTCCCAGGCGCCTGGTACACCCTGCGTCCTGGTTGTCGTCTCGATGCTTACAGACGAGGACGCCGGAGTACAGAAAGACTAACGAGTCTAAGTTTGATCCTGGATTCCATTTTACGACTGCTGACTTCAAAGCCTGCGTTCTTGATGCAACACCGCCCTTCTTACCTCGTTTAGTCTCTTTATTTTTCCAGAGGAGGAAACTGAGGCCCAGAGAGGGGAAGGACTCCCCTAACGTGCGCTAAGCCTGGAAGCAGATTCTGATTCGCAGGCCCTCGCGTGCCCGGGCAGCCCTGTGTCTGGTCCCGGCCTCCATCCCCCGTCACCCCAGTGCTCACTGAGTGCCCTTTCCCGGGAGGCACTGAGTGTAGCTCCTCCTCCTGCTTGTTCCCAGGCGCTTGCTGTGCCCTTGATGGGAAGCAGCATGTGTCTCGGCTAAAAAATCCTGGCTCCTAGACGTTGAAAGTTTCCCTCCGTATTAAGCTAGTACGAAGTGACACTCGTCACTCAATTCTTGGTCTTTGAGGTCTGTCGTGTCATCTCACTTTCTCCCCCTGAAACCCTGACTCTTCTTGGATATGAGGAGGAACGCAGCACAAAGCCTGCTGGACACAGAAAGACGCACGGGTCACTATACTTGCAGCTCGTAGTGGGCTTTCCGTTCCCAGTGTTCACAGTAGCCCCTGTGGACCGAAGGGCAGGGAAGAAGCAGCCAGTGCTTTTGTTTCGTTTCGTTTTGTTTTCTTGAGCTTCCTGTGATGCAGCAGGCATTTGACAGTCACACAGCAACTCTTTGATGGGGTGGTGGTGGTCCCTGTTTCACAGATAAGCTGGGGCTCAGAGAGGCTAAGTGGCTACCCAGTGGCCCACAGCAAAGAAGTAGGAGAGCTGGGTTTTGAACCCAGTTTGATTTGACTTTTATCTGTGATGTAACCAGAGACGGTTGGCACTGGGAGATCCAGATGTCTCCCCAGGACACTTTGCTGAGCACCAGGGCCCTTTTCCCCAACACGGGCCCTGCCTCTGTGATTTAGATCCTTCCCCTGTTGGCCTCTCGGAGCTCTCAGGAAGAACGTAGTCCTTCAGCACCCACATCACCTTGGAGATTCAGAAAATGCATTTGAGAGTCGTGTAGTCATTATCTTAAAAGAAATAGTGAGGGGGCGGTGGGGTGTGGGATGAATTTGTATGGAGATTCTGGGGACTCTGGAATTTATGTGTGTTTAGGTATTGAGAGGCATATTTCTCCTTGTTCTCACTGAAGCTGTAAATATTGATCCGATTCTTCAAACCCAAAAATACAGTTTTTGTAGACTTGAGTCTTTTCCATTGGAAATGCCTATTACTCTTCAGGATACAAGAGGGAGAAAATGGCTGGCAAATGTATTTATTACTGATTCTCCCCATGTATAGTACAATGCAGGGAGGGGAAATGTGCCGGAGAAAAAGTCATAAATATTTATATTTTAATCCAATTTCCTTTCAAAATGTTCCCAATTGTATTGAAAAATTGCATCAAATGCATTTCATTTAACTCTAGGATGTGAAAGCCGCCCAGGCAGAACTGGAAAAGGCCTTTGCGGGGACAGAGACAGAGAAGGCTCTTCGGTTGAGCCTGGAAAACAAGCTCTCGGAGATGAAGAAGAGGCACGAGGGGGCCTTGGACATGACTGTGGTCCTGGAGCAGAAAGACAGGTCTGGCTCTTGTCTCTGCCACGCATTGACATTCGTCTATCGGGCAGCATGGCCAGAGGGTTGTTCCCTTCCTACCCTTTTATCCCCCCTTTCTCTCCTTGTTCCCCGACAGTGAAAAAACCTAGGGTAACCTCAGGGCGACAGGAAAATGGCGAGGGTAGTGCTGTGAGGACAGGGATAGAATGAATGAGAGATAGAAACACCTGCTGAAAGTTCCCAGATACTACCTTTAGCATTCAGTACCGGTAGCCGAAGGAAGAAGAGAACAGCTTTCTTGATGGACCTAAGATTCACATTGCTCACAAGAGAAAATGAGTCAGCAACTCTGGAGAAGCCCAGTTTTACTTGACATTGTCAGGGAGAAACTTCTCTCGTGGATCTGCCCAGAGGGAACGGTTAAGTGATTGTATCCCCACAATAGATGCTAGTGAATTTTGTGTGACCCTGTTTATCATCGTGTCTTTTAATGCAGGCCGCGGGCCCAGATTCATACAGTGCAGGGGGCCGAAGCAGTGTAGACCAAGCACAGCGCTCTGTGACAGTCCAGGAATAAAATGAGTGCTACGTAGGCCAGAGAAACGGACGGACTGGAGGATCTGTAGGCAGTCTTTGATGCTCATACCTTGCAACCAGACTTTTGATCAAAACTAGTCAGGAGAGAGTTGAGGTTTTCTTCTTTATCACGAACCTTACATTTTACTCTTGCCTTGCTTTGGTGGTCACTAGGTGGAAAGTTGAGTAAAGTAAATACAGGTGAAACTTCTGGCTAACCTGTGATCTATCCATTGAAGAGCCAAGCTTGCTTGGAATTTGACAGAGATTGTTCTAAGGCAAATGATCTATTTGCCTACTTCCTTAAATAGAGGAAGCTGACTATGGTTCCTTTTTTGGGGGGTGTGTTGCCCGATTGACTGGCCCCCCACGTTGTTGAGGTTCTGGTGCCTGGTTGCCCTGGTTCCCCGACCGCTCTTTGCTTCTCTTTCTGTCTCCATACCACCTTTTGAGATTTGAGTCTGCAGCGTGTTTGCGTGATGGGTTGGGAAATGAGATGAGCAAATGTTTTAGGATTTTCTGTGAAAGAGGAATGAGTAGACTCTCAGGGGGAGCCCATGGCTTCCATTTAGTCCGTGCTTGGGGGAGCTAGCATTTACGTAACCTCTTCTTAACTTTGATCTGGAAAACGGAAGTTTGGGATGAATCTCAGGATGAGCCAGGAAACAGAGTTCTCTAGGAGATGTAGGCCGTCAGGGCTGAGTGAATGAGTGTTTTTCTCGATTGCACGGCTAGGAGGAGAAGCTTCCTTGGACGGGTGGGGTTTTGCTGGGCTTCCCCTTCCCCTTCTTCCAGGCACCACCTGAGAGAGGTGGAGACTGCGGCCACCGTACTGTGACAGAGTCTGGAATCCTTTTCCATACAAGTTATTTATACGTTCCCTTGCATCTCTCCCAGCTGATGAGCGGTGAAGCCCTTAGAAGGTTTATAGGTTTGTCTTTCCTGGGGGACCTGCAGGTCTCCAACAGTTAAATTGGAAATAGGGGGCTCAGGGAAGAGACTAGAATGTGTGGGAGGCAGCCACCAAAGAAGAAAAGGCAGAATTCCTGGTGCGGGTGCAGGGGAAGAGGGAGAGCTCTGGGGGTGGGTTTGAGGAGAGCTGGTTGGAGGGGTCCTGCCAGGGCCCCAGCAGATGCTCAGCAGCCGGTTCGTTGGTCTGTTGGATCATCACGCCCTTTGTTCAGCAAATACTTCCTGAGCATCTTGTGTTCAGTAAGTGGTGGGTCGAGTGTAGGGGTGAGTGGTACAGGCTGGGTCCCTGTCCCAAGGAACCTCGTCACCTAGCTGGGTGGGAGGACTGGAGGGCAGGAACAGAGTGACCAGGGCCAGATGGATAAATGCTGGGTTAACATTACATCTTTCTAATTCTATTTAGAGGGATTAGGAAAGGCTTCCCAGAGGAAGTACGAGGGTAAAGGAGGAATTACTTGGAGGAAGAAAGGGTGTTGCAGGTCCTGAGAACCACATGAGTGGAAGTTCAGAGGCCGAAGGGCACAGAGCTCGACCCAGGAACTGTCAGAAGTATAGCATGGCTGGAGAGTTGTGTTCTGGAAGGGAGGTGGGAAGAGATGAGGAGAGGGAGGCTGGCCAGATCATGTGGGCTTTGTTGAACAGTTTGGGTTTTGTCCTCAGGGCACGTGACGAGCTGCTGATGAATTAAGATTGGGAGTAGGGTAGTGTCAGGGTCAGCCTGTAATTTAACGCGATCCTTCTGGCTGAACCTGGCGGATGAGTTGTTGGTGGGGCTGGGTGGGCAGATTCCTTCTCAGGATGATGCAGAAGTCCAGACACAAGATCACAGTCACCAGGATTGAGGTGAAAGAACTGGGCGGAGAAGAACGGGCAGAGATATTTCTTTCTTTCTTTGATTTCATTTTATTTTGAGAGAGAGAGAGAACACGCATGTGGGGGAGAGGGGCAGAGGGGGAGAGAGAGAATCCAAGCAGGCTCCACTCAGTGTGGAGCCTGATGCGGGGCTTGATCCCATGAACCTGGGATCATGACCTGAGCCAAAGGACGCTCAACTGACCCAGCCACCCAGGTGCCCCCAGGCAGAGATATTTAGATGGTAAATTGGCACGATGGCTTGAAGGGCTTGATCATTGATGGGTTTGGGGATGAGGGACAAGGCTGCCGAGATACCTCCTCACCCAGGTTTTGAGCACGAACAACTGTGGGATGGTGGTGTGGTTTGCCAAGTTTGGGGAAAGAAAGGGAGAAAGAACAGATGTTTTTGGGTGGAGGGAGTGGGAAGATAAGCTTTCAGTTGGACGTGTTGGGTTGAGGGATTGTGGGCATCCAAGCAAGAGTAGAGTCTAGAAGGTGCTTGGCCAGATGGATTAAGGCGAGATTAAAGGAGATCTAGGTAAATTCACTGAGCAGCTACTGAACAGGGCCTTGGGTTAGGTGCCAGGAATGGAGACCAGAGCCCTGCCCTCCTTCTATGGTGCTCCCGGTGTGGGGGAGGGGACAGATGTCCAAAAAAAAAAAAAAAAAAAAAAAAAAAAAAAAAAAAGCATCGTGATTGGCATTAGAAGTAAGTTCAGGGTTCTGTGCTGTGACAGAAACAAAGCAGTGGTCAGCTGCGTTTGGGTTCGGGACAGAGAAGGCTTATCAGAGGAGGAGCGCGAGGAGGTGGGTGAGGCGGGCGGCCACTGAAGTAGACTCATGCGAGGCGTGGAGCCCGGCACGTGTCGAGCGAATCACAGAAGAAAGTGGTCTCTGGTGACATATGCCCAGAAGTGTGGCTACTCATCTTCTCGGAGCAAAAAATTTGGGGAGGGTTGAGGCTCACTGAGTACTTAATGCGGTGCGGATGGGGGGGGGGTGTCTCCACGTGTGGGTGGTCAGGTCAGGGCTTTGCCAAAGGCTGCGCCTCCTTGGGGTTTCCCGTAGGCCTGGCGTGGCAGGCACAGAACCCTGATTTGTTGGTACTGCCAGAGCGGCTCTCTCTCAGGAGCGGATGTGCCCCAGCCACACTCCCCAAGGCCAGAGCAGCGACCAGATGCTGCCTACTTGGGGTGTGGCCCTCTCTGCGGTGCGTCTGTCCTGGGACCGGCATCACTATGTTCCTCCCTGAAGGCAGGAGGTCAGGAGGTGAGTTGCTAAGCACAGACCTGGGACAGGTGTCCTTGGGCCTGCCCTGGTGAGATGGATCTAGATGTGCCATCCAGGTGGCCCTGTGACAGCGCAGGGCCCTTGCTTGGATGGGCACTGCTGAGGTCTTTCCTGGCTTCCTCCACCCTTTTGAAAGGTGCGTGCTTTAGCTACTCTATTTCCTGTGATCTGTGTCCGTAAGGCAGCTGACATGTGGCCAACAGATATGTTTTGTTTGGCCTATGCAGTGCTTTTAGAAGTTTGACTTAGTTGCTAGAATTTAAAAAAAAATCTAGTTTCATGTAAAAGTCTGGATTTCCAGCTTCTTTGAAAACCTGGAAGGTGTGGTGAGCCTGGGCCTGGGTCTTGCTGGATCGAGGCCGCTTTCGGAGGTGGGCCTGGTGCTCTAGTTTGGCCACAGTCCCCACAGGCCTGCCTCACTCAGCCCATGCCTTCTGGAACTTGCTTCAAGGTAACTGAAACAAATCAAGGCGATCTAAGTAGAAGTTACATACAACACAACACATCCAATTTCAAGTATGTAGTCAGTGACTTGTTACCTCTTCAGTTGATTATATGGTGATTTCAGAGTAGAACCCCTAGAGGGCAGTCTTACCCCTCCATCCAAGATTTGGAGGCATCGCCCTGGTGCTGCCTCGGGACCCCCCCCCCCCCCCCCCCCCCCCCCCCATACCTGATTGTCTTAGCCTGTTTGGGGCCCTATAACAAAGTACCGCAGATTGGGTAGCTTACAAACAACAGAAACTTATTTCTTACAGTTCTGGAGGCTGGAAGACCAGGTGCCCACATGGTCAGGTGACAGCCCTCTTCCAGCCTGCAGACTTCTCACTGCATCCCCACGAGGTGGGGGTCTGAGGCATCTTTCTGGAGCCTCATTTGTAAGACACTGGTCCAATTCCTGAGTTCCACCCGCGTGGCCTGATCTCCAGCCAAAGCCCCACCTCCTAATACTGGCACAGTATAGGAATTTGGGGAGGCCGCGAGCATTCGGACCTCGGCCCCTGTGCCTCGCCAGCTGCTTTTAACTACTTTTAGCCAACTGACCCTTTACTTTCACCCCGAGAGCCAGGGAAGCTCTCTGACTCTTGTTTCTTTGTTTTTTGTTTTTTTTTTAAATGTGTATTTATTTATTTTTTGAGAGAGAGTGTGTGAAAGGGGGAAGGACAGAGAGAGGGAGACAGAGGATCAAAAGCGGGCTCTGTGCTGATAGCAGAGAGCCTGATATAGGGCCCGAACCCATGAACCATGAGATCACGACCTGAGCTGAAGTCGATGCTTAACTGACCGAGCCACCCCCCAGGCATCCCGCTCTCGGACTCTGACTAAAACCCTTGCTGTCTTCCTACCATTCACGTTCCTTTCGAGGCTCAGATATGGAAAGGCCCTTCTGAGGGTTTTCTGAGAGAATGCTAATTGTTGGATGTTAAAAAAAAAAAGTAATATAGCAACTGCCCTATGTTGAGTTGTGCTATCTGCCTGGAGGTATGTAGGTCTGTTTCAAATATTTTATCGCTTATCCACATGAGCAGGTGAAAGCCATTTTGTAGCGAGGAAATGTGGACTCAGAGAGGTCGGATAACTTGGCCACGGTCAGGGAAGCGTAATGTGGTGGCCCCGAGCAGGTGTTCAGCTGTACCCGAGGGGGACACGGGGTGTGGTCGGCACGGGTTCCTTGGGGACAGGCACCGCCTGGAGTAACTGGCGGGGTGCTGGGTGTGTATTAGATGTGGATGGCACCGAGAGGGGCATTCCAGGTGGAGGGGCAGGTGTGAGTGGAGGTCTGGAGGCACAAAACAGCCTGGCTTCTGGAAAGAGCTGGAAGGGAGGCTGCTGGGCGGTGAGGCAGCAGGCAGCGGCCTCCTGCGAGGGATGAGACCGCAGCCGCCAGCGGGGCCTCTCAGCTTCTAGGCCCGAAGAGCTGGGGGCCTTGAATGCCTTGCTCACGAGCTTGGCCTTTATCTTGAACATCAGTGTATTTTAAACTTTGCCCCGAGAGGCCGAGGAGAGAGATTGTCTGTTTTTGCCGGCTCAGTTCTGCTTTATCGGTCGTGTCTGTTCAGGCTTCAGTGCCTGATTTCTTTGGCAGAGAGGATTCTTGGCCAAAAAAACAAAAACAAAACAAAACAAAAAAAAAACCATGAGCAGTCCGCTGCCGTCGGTGGTGGGGGCTGTCGAAAGTCTGAGCACGGGTGTGGCTTGATCAGACCCTAGTCTGGTGGCTCAGAGGTTGGATCTGCCGGGGCCAGGCTGGAGGTGAGGGCACAGTTAATGTCACACGCGTTCTGGCCCTTACTCTCCCACTAGCAAAATGCGATTCCATTTCTGTTCAGTCATTGGACATGTCTACTTTGAAGATGTTTGGCCCCATTTCCTGCCTCCTCCTGCTCCACTGAGCTAGGAGAACAGCTTAGAATTAATATTTAAATTTTGTTCGCTTTTAGACTGATTGAGGAGTTGAAGCTGTCTTTGAAGAGCAAAGAAGCTTTAATTCAGTGCCTTAAAGAGGAGAAATCTCAGATGGCATGTCCTGATGAGAGCGTGTCATCTGGAGAGCTCCGAGGACTTTCTGCCGCTCCAAGGGGAGAAAAGGAGAGAGATGCTGAGGTGAGGCGATGGGGTGTGAAGGGGGACTTTAATTAGCAGACCAGACTCCTCTGTGGCAGATGGGACGCACATTCGGTCCCCACGGGTCACACGCAGACTGCTTCCAAATATTAGCTCCCCAGCAGCTGAGGAATTAGCAGGCACCTCCTTTGTCAGGGGCCCTGGCTTGTTTTTTCCTTCCAGCCTCATGTTTATATAGGGTTGGCTAACAGAACAGTCCATACTTGCTCGCCTCTGTTTTACTGTGTGTTGATTTCTCGTTGCCCGGAGACTTTATTTCCGTCCTTTGGGTTTTCTTGGGATAAAACTTAGTCCCTGTTTCACCTGTGCGGTTAGAGGCAGTGGGGGGAAGGGGACTCACTGGTGTTGGGCCTGGCAGCCGGAGAAGGGCTTCTGCATGGAACCTCCTTGAGTCCTTCTGGCCGCTCTGCGAGGTCGAGGTCACTGTCCCCTCATGGAATTTAGAAACGGGCTCAGAGGAGTTGTTGTATTTTCCTAGGCGCTAAGAGGTGGGTGGGTAGTGGCAGCCCCCCGAGCCCCCCAGAGGCCATCCCTCCCCTAGGCAGTCTCCAGGGCAAGCTGCGGGAGCAGGGCTGGGCCTGGAGGTGCAGCGGGCCTCGCTGACACCCTCCTGGTTTTGTTGGGCCAGGGATGGCTGCTGCATGTGGTACATTCCCGATATGGGATGTTCAGGAAAAGTCTTGATTTTTTATGGAGGAGAGTCTTCTTTGTTCCTATTACAGCAGTGATTTCTGCAGCCTCACTGGTTAGTTTTCTGCTGGAAAACTAATCAGCCCTCGTCTCCTGCTCCTCTTTTT